AAAAATAGTTGAGCAATTAGTAAAATAATTTACGATTATCAACTATATTGTAAATTGTGATATTTAGTGAACTACTAAAAAAAGAGTGCGGGTAAGGTTCACCCGGAATTGAAGTAAAACTTTTTTGCTATTGTATAAAATGGCATTTAAGTTAAAGTCATACTTCAAATATGGCATGATCGGTTTGTCATTGTAATTAGCAATTAGGACTTACCTATAAAAATAATTTCCATTTTAATAACCTCAAAAATATATAGTAACTACGAAAAGTACAAATTACTTCAATAAACTTACGTTGGGACTCGACTCGAGCGTAACGCTTTTTCCGTTGCATTTGCACAGATCTACACCCTAGTCGCGCCTAAAGAAGTTTTACTTCAATAATTATTCTCAACTTCATTTTTAAATTTTTTGCATAGTTTGTATGGGTTGCTGATTAATATAGAAAGATGCACAAAACTCGAGATTTTACTTACACTTGACGAAACTACCAATATTTTTAAATTAAACACCATACACCATCTATCAGTAGATAAAAAAGATTTTTATATACAAAAAGTCTTCTTTTATAAAATATTTTCGCCTGATCGCACAGCAAATAAATAGTACCAAGAGTGTTCTATTTATTGCTAAAGAATGAAATATCGAATTCAAAGTGGTTTAATTCAAAACTTTTATATCGTAGTGTATATAAGTGTTTGCTAGGAAAATGTTGTAAATTTTATCTAGTTTCACCCTATCTAACTGAAAAGGGGTGGTTCCATATGAAATTTTTGAGTTATTTGACAAAAACCAAAAGACAATAATAACAAGTAATATCAAATGAGATAAACAACAAGGTAGCCAAAATCATTTTAACACTTTTTTATAAAAAAAGAAAATAACTATAAAATCTGCATACTTCACTGAAAATTCAACAAAACCTCAAATGCTTCCAAATTGATAAAAAACAATTTTTATGGAAATAACATGGTTAAAATTTAAGTAATTTAGTATACAAATTAATTTGTCTAAATTGCTAAGGGTTTTACATTGGCGAAACTAGCCAAAATATATACAAAAAAATCTTTCAACATAGAAATAATTTAAAAAATAAGAATCAGTATAAAACCATGCTCACAGAACACATAAATAACCTTCAGCATTTATTTTTGTTTCTATTTGTTATTTAGAATTTTATAACTTAGCGACATGTGAATCAAAATTTTGATAATAACATTGTTTTTGCTATTTTTGATCATAAATAAAAAAATTCACAAAAAAATTGATATATTTATCAAATAAATATTTACTTAGGAAAAAGAACCGAGAAACTTTGGTTGGAGTGCGAACTATCCTAAAGTTAATATCAAGAGCTAAAAGAATGAAATATCGAATTCAAAGTCGTTTTATTCAAAACTTTTATATCGGAATGTATAAAAGTGTTCCCTACTAAATGTTGTAAATTTTATCTAGTTTCACCCTATTTAAATGAAAAGGGGTGGTTTCATATGAAATTTTTGAGTTATTTGACAAAAACTAAAAAAAATGTCATAACAAGGCTATGTTATCGTCTATGGTCACTTTATTTTATCTGTATGAAAAATTCAAAATATGTAATTGATCTAAAATATTACCAGCTGCTTTATTTATCAAAACTATTTGTCGCAAGTATGATAAATTAGTTGGCAAAATATTTATAAAACTTCATCTGTTGTTTGTTGTTTTGAAATATTGATTTATACTCAAACAAGTAGGTAATATATAACAAACAGTATATCACCTATATATATTTTTCTAACAATGGTTCCAGCTGCGTTTCTTGCACAAATATTTATAATATGATAGGATTATTTTACTTATGGAATAACTATCGATGTTTGTCGGTTCTGTAATATTATAATAATGATTATGATTCATTCGTTGTGTTTTTATTCTTTGTCATAAATTATAATGCAGTGACACAAGTCTTGCTTTTAATAATTGTAATAGTTGAAACTGTACTTATTATAGTTTTGTCGGGCTTAGTGGAAAGTCGTGAGTGAAAGCTTTGGATATATAAAATCACTTTGATTGTTTGCTTTTTGGGACAAAAATGTAGGTACAATAGATTTATTTAATACTATCATTTGTTACGTTGTAGAGTTTTTTATGTAATAATTTATATAAGTGTCTATTGTGTGAAAATTGATGTTACTTATTCATATTTTTTTCAATTAAAAATGATTCCGTCGTCGTATATCAGTTAACACACGTGTGCTAACACAGTATAGTACTTGGTTCGGTTCCAAACTTGGTCAGCTCGATATCAAGCAGTATAATGTCCATAACCAACATAATTAAAAATACATATGTATATATACATATATATATATATATATATATATATACTAGTTGACCCTGCCAGAGTTGTTTTGTTATGTAAGATATATTCTAAACAATTTCTAAAGAATCAAAAAAATTAATACTTTAATTTAAGTGTGTAGAATGTGTTGTTTGCACGCTATATACAGTGAGGTATTAAAAAAACAATAAACCCCATTATAGTTTGTCTATATTTTGTCAATACAATCAAACTGGAAGTTTTATACACTTTCTATAGAAAACATGGTATAATCCAATACAAGTCTTTTTTGGTCTTTCGACATATTGATTACGTTTCAAGTTTTTCAGATTTTTTTTGGATTCTGAATTTTGTGTATAATTGTATATAATACTACTGAGCTTATAAAAAAAATCAAATTTATGCGAGGAGAGATAAAAAATGAATTAAGTATTTCTTCTTTGATCTGCTTTTTGAAAAGTTTCAAGTATCATTGATTGAATGAATTTTTCAAGACTAGGACTGGCCAAATCGGTTTAGCCGTTTTCAAATTTTAGCGAATCATTTTATCGAGAGCTCGATTTTTATATATAAGATATAAGGATGGTCCTTAATATGGACGTTTTTGAATATCCTTGTTCCCAGGGGCTCAAATGCTTCCAGAATTATTAAAAAAAATTCTCTGAAAGTTTTAAGTCCTAATATTAACTTTAAGATAGTCCGCACACCAACCAAAGTTTCTTATGGAAATAACATGGAAAAAATTCCATTTGTTTTCAAGAATTTTATAAGTTAGCGACAATCAGTGAATCAGTGAGAATAACATTGTGTTTGCTTATTTTGATCATAAATTTTCTTTCATACTTCAAATGAAAAAAGTTGAAAGAAACACATTCTTTATTAATTATACGTTTCGACACTTGATGTGTGCCATCTTTCAGCAGTGTATACAATAAAACAATTAATACAAATATTCGAAAATTAATGATGATATAAAATTAGAAGAATACACTGACCAACCAGGACAAAAATAAATACTTAAATATCATATTTATTTTAAAAAGATTAAATTTTTTTGTGAGAAAGAACTACACACACAGCTCAAAATTTGAATTTATGTTTTCAGAACATATGTTTAAATTTAATCTTTGATACCTATTATTATATTTATTTATTTATACAACGCTTACGTTACATTTTGAAGTGTACAAATTATAAACTAAAGTAATTAAAAATAAAAACTAATAAAATTAAATATTTGGTAAACTATTATATATAGAGAAAAGATTTATGACCTTAAAAGATTTGCAGAGTCTTTCCTAATTTCCTTAAATTCGTGTTGCCTTCATAAAAGTAAATATACTGCATATCTGTTATATAATAGTTATCAGTTTATAATTAATTTTATTAAGAATAATTCTAAAACTGTTTCTTAATTTTTTTTGCTTCTAATATGTTCTCTAACCTTTATTTTCTTAATCGCTGATGTATATATGTACAATACTTATAAATTAAATTTGTTCACTCTTTTCGTCCAAGATTTTTTTTAAATTTACATATAAATTTTCCCAACAGATATCTTTCTAACAGATTAAGAATGTTCAAAATCGATTCAAAATTCTTAACCAAAACGTGGTCAAAAATTTGTTCACGTTTCTGCTAATTATAAAGAGGCAGCTTGATCCATCATCTTGCAAAACTAATTCACCTGATAGAGTTCAAAAAAAAGATTTTTGAATCTTAGTAAATTGGTGCAGCCGTTTTTAGAGTCTTTTGTCATCAAAGTTTAAGAAAACGAGTAGTTTTTTTGACGTTTGTTAAAATTGAAATTGGACGATTTACTTGGTATAACGATAGAGTACTTGGTCTTAATGATCTTACTAAACTATTATATCCATTATTTTCTTTCCAGACCGAGTTTTCTCTCAATTTTCGACCAGCCCCAATCGACCGGAGTCGCCTCCAGGCGTCCTCCGCGACCTGCCGCCAAATCCTCCGGAGTCGTCGGAGAAGTTTCTGGTCAACCTGCTGGTATCTTAATCGGAGGCAAACAGCCTCTGCGAAGATCCCCAAGTGCCCCCTTGCAGGCAGGGAATCCCCAATCTGCCAGACTTAATGCTGAATTGTTTAGAGGGACTAGGTTGAGGGGTGATGTTGCTTCGGATTCAGGTAAAAAGATAATAAGAACTAGTGGTGTATGGCATCGTGCCTTAAGGCAAATTGCTGGAACTTCCCGTACCAACATTTTTTTTTTGAAAGATTAATATTTTTGACAAAAATTACTCTGAAAAAATTAGAATTTTTGAGAAACTGTAAATTTTTGACAAAAAATTACTTTTTTTGAAAAAAAAAAGACTTTTTGAAGAAAAATTTATTTTGAAATATTCTGGAAATTCTGAACATTTTTTCAAAGCATAATCGTACTGCTTTAACTGCATAGAGACGAAATATCAAGCCCGTAAGCGCCGCGTCACCGTCTAACGGATAAACATTGGTACTGAACCCACAAGAATGTAAACAAAATTTATACTTATTGTTCTCTACATAAAAATCTCTATAAAATATCTGATAATTTGATGTGCATATGTCTAATGATCATTTTTGACCGCCAAATGGCATTTTTTTAAATTTTTTTTTTACTAAATCTCCGAAACCTCTAGACCTGCCTACATGAAAATTTGATTAGTTCTTCATCTTGTTAATACAAGTAAAATGTTTTTAGAATTATTAAAATCGGACGCTGCGTTCTCTTAAAATTTTTTGGCGTTTTTGCCCCATATCTTCGGGACGGCTAAACCTGCCTTCGCCAAAAACTAATCAGCACGAAATTCAATACGAATCGAATGTTTTTTTAATTATTCAAATCGCTTCATACGTGTTCCCGAAATCGTCGACGAAAATTTGTATCCACACACACACACATACACGCACACACACACACAAACAAACATACATCCATTTTTTCTAAAAATAAGGTATGACAAAATGTTCAGAAGGTTTTGAAACGTTAAGATATATAAAAATTTAGTGCCACAAATTATCTTTTACAACATTGATCTTGTTTTGATTTCACAGTTGAAATTCCCTATAATTTAGAATTATTTGTAATGAATACTTATATCTTCATTATTTGATAAATTACAGGCGGATTTTTTTTTACCATGTACACTATATCATCCTCATTTTTAGCAACCACAGAAATATTTATTTAATAAAATAAATGATAGTTTTATTTTAAGTATGATTCCAATATTTATTTCCTATTTGGTAATCAATAATTGCAGAAAAGTCGATCGCATACTAAATTCTAAGTAAATGTTTAGTAGCAGGTACGACTTAGGCGACCTGCTCTAATTGTACCGCCAGTACATTTTTGTAAAACGTGATATTACCTATTTTGATAAATAAGTGAATTTTCACTAATTGTTAATTTTAAAACAACTATATATTCAATAAAATAATGATTTCTTGTATTGCAAATAATTATCATTCAGGGGGTACGACTTAAGCAACCTCGCCATATTTATGATGAATTATTTTGATGTAGCTTAAAAATTTATTAAACTAAAAATAAATTATGATTTGCAGAAGGAATAGAGCTGTTAGGATTTCAACGCCTGGGAACGATACCACGTGTGAGATCTGGTAGTGATCCTTCGTGTTCATTATCTGGGTATGATAATATATAAATCTAATATATATATATATATATATATATATATATATATATTATACTTTACAGTAGATCTTCAGAGCACATGAATGTTTCTCGAAGTCACAACAATTTATACTGCATGGACAACAATTCATCAGAAGGGTCTCCTTTGGGACAAACCAGTTCAGGTAATATATTTACAAACCCAAAAAATAAATTTCAATCAATTGTATATATTAATTCTGTAATATTTTATTCCAGGTGAGGATTCTCCAATGAGGGCTCTAAGTTTAGCAGGAGAATCTCCGACGGAGCCTCTCAGTTTTGAAAATATGTGCAGGCAACAATCACAAGATAATGTACAATCAAATCTAATATGACTTGGTAAAATAATTATTTAGTTGTTAATTTTGTGTTTGTGGTTTATTTTAGGACTGGGAGCCCATTTCTTTATGTTCTGGAGGCCTAGATGTCTCATTATTAACCGAATTGGAACTTAAGAAGTTACAACCTTTGTTGTGGCTCGAATTGGCATCTTTGTTTGATGTCCACAATGTTGCTCTTGATAAACGTAAACCGTTGAAACGAAAACGAAAAGAAGGTAATTGAGAAATTAGTTTTCAGTTTTGTAAAGGAATTTATGGTTTCAATTTATTTAGAGGGTAATTTGTTTGGTGTGTCTCTGAACGCCTTGGTCCGTCGAGATCAACAAGTTACTGGAGAAGACACTGCTTTGGTGCCTTTATTGATCCAGTGGCTTCTTGCTGAAATTAGGAAACGTGGAGTGAACGAAGAAGGAATTTTGCGAGTTGCTGGCAACAAACAAAAGGTAAATAAAAAAAAGAGTGCGCGTAAGGTTCACACGAGATTGAAGTAAAACTTATTTGCTACTGTATAAGATGGCATTTAAGTAAAAATAAATACGGCATATAACTATTTTGAATAATGTTTATCAGTAATATGGTAACACTCGTGATACACACATTTATTATTGTCGACCATTATACACATTTATATAATAATAAATTATAAATTATACATTTATGAGAGCATAAAAAATATGTATAATATTTATAAACAATAATGTAATTAAAGTCATACTTTAAATATGACATGATCGGTTTGTCATTGTAATTAGCATTTAGAAATGAACTTTCATTAGAGAAATGAAATAATTGCTGATTAATAAATTCTATAATATTTGTTCACACAGTGGATTATGTTAAACAACGCCTAATCAAATATTATTTTCACAATCTTACTCATCTTAAGATTATATTGAGATATTATAAAATTACAATTGTAATTGCGTTTGAACAACTTCATGGAATTAAAATTAACATGCATTCATTGACTGTTTGTATTTTTTTTAAATTTTTCTCTGACGATATAATCTCATTCTTTGAACAGCTATAATATCTGTCTTGCCTAAAAAATAGTTTCCATTTTAGTAACTTTAAAAATTTATAGAACTTACGAATAATATAGAAATTATTTCAATAAACTTACGTTTCTTACACTGCACAGATTTTTCATTTGTTTTATTATTGGCTCTATAATTATTTATGGGAGGCTGGATAAAATATTCTTCCGATCCAGACATTTTAATTAACTTAAGATGTGTACTACTATTTAACTTGAAAAGAGTGCTCCCATATAAAGATTCTGAGATATTTGACAAAAACCAAAAAAATGTCCCGAATTCTATTGTATTTTTGCTAAAGAATGAAATATCGAATTTAACGTCGTTTTATTCAAAACTTTTATATCGGAGTGTATAAAATTGTTGGCATGGAAATGTAGTCAATTTTATTTAGTTTCACCCTATCTAACTGAAAAGGGGTGGTTTCATATGAAATTTTTGAGTTATTTGACAAAAACCAAAAACATGTCCCGAATTCTATTCTATTTTTTGCTAGAGAATGAAATATCGAATTCAAAATCGTTTTATTCAAAATTTTTATATCGGAGTGTATATAATAGTTGAGATGGAAATTTTATGTAGTTTCTGATGTACTAATAAAAAAATAATGTTCCCGATATAAGGTTTTCGAGATATTTGAAGGTGTGTAGAAAAATGTCCCGACTTTTTTATTGCACCTGTCAAAAAATCGATTTCAAAATCGTTTTATTCAAGACTTTTATATTCAGTTTTTTCTCATCATTATAAATAAAAATTAAATATTTAGTATATATTATATATAAACTTTACGAATCATCCTATCCCAAGAATTTTTTTTCTAATTATTCCCTAACCTTTTGCTCTTACTATTTCGCTTACAAAACTTTTGCTCCATGAAAATTGTATCTAAACTTTTGCCAAAACGAAACAACACTCCGTTTCGTAAAGAAAAAACCGCTTTTCTTTCGCTTATTACTCCTTTTTTACTCTAAATGGGAAAATAACTCCAACAAAGTTGTAGAAAGACTTTTGAGGTAAAATTTACTAAATAGAAGTATTGGATCATCGTCGTATATATATTATATTAGGTTGTCAAATATCTCCCTTCCGCCTTTTTGTATTATAAACCAAGAGCAAAAAAGCGGAAGGGAGATATTTGGCAACCTAATAGTATAAAAAAGTGTAATAATTTTTATTACTACTATTATAACAGAATTCCTATTAATTTTACTCAAAGGTCAATTTTAATTATTTATTCCGGCCCTGTACGCGATTGGATTTCAAATAGATTCAGGAAGGAATAGTTAGAGTACATTGGATTACAATGAAAAATCGAATTCAAAGTTGTTTTATTTAAAACTCTTATATCGAGGTGTATAAAAGTGTTCCCTAGGAAATGTTGTAAATTTTATCTAGTTTCACCCTATCAAACTGAAAAGGGGTGGTTTCATATAAAATTTTTGAGTATTTGACAAAAACCAAAAAATATCCCGAATTCTATTCTATTTATCGCTAAAGAATGAAATATCGAATTCAAAGTCGTTTTATTCAAAACTTTTATATCAGGTGTATGCAGATGTTCTCTAGGAAATGTTGTAAATTGTATCTAGTTTTACCCTATCTAAAACTTGAAAAGGGTGCTTCATATGAAATTTGTGAGTTATTTGACAAAAACCAGAAAAATGTCCTGAATTTTCTATTTATTGCTAAAAAACGAAATATCAAATTCAAAGTCATTTTATTCAAAATTTTTATATCGGAATGTATATAAGTGTTTATAAGGATTTTTTTATAAGGATAAAAATTTTGTGTTTTATAAGGTGTTTTTATAAGTAAATTTTATCAAGTTCATTCTATGTAACTAAAAATAACCAAAATAATAAAATATATATATAAAATTTGTGAGTTTTTTGACAAAAACCAAAAAAATGTCCCGAATTCTATCTATTCTATTTATTGCTAAATAATGAAATATCAAATTCAAAGTTGTTTTATTCAAAACTTTTATATCGGACTGTATATAAGTGCTTATAAGGATTAGTAGTAAATTTTATCTAGTTTCACCCTATCTAACTAAAGGGCTTTCATATAAATTTGTGAGTTATTTGACAAAAACAACCAAAATGTCCCGAATTCTATTATTTATTGCTAAAAAACGAAATTTTGAATTCAAAGCCGTTTTATTCAAAACTTTTATATCGGACTGTATTTTAATGTTTATAAGGATTTGTAGTAAATTTGATCTGCTTTCATATAAAATTTGTGAGTTATTTGACAAAAACTAAAAAAATATCCCGATTTTTTTATTTATTGCTGAAAAATGAAATATCAAATTCAAAGTCGTTTTATTCAAATTTTTTATATCGGAATGTATATAAGTGTTTATGAGGATTTGTAGTAAATTTTATCTAGTTTCACCCTATCTAACTCAAAAACATTGTTCCCATATAAAGATTCTGAGTTAATTGCCAAAAACCAAAAAAGTCTCGAATTTTCTACTTTTTGGTAAAGATTGACTGAATTCTTTTTGATACATGTGCAATTATCAGTTTTTGTCAAATATTTTCTTTACTCAGGTGGAATTATTAAGTGCAGAGCTTGAACGAGACTTTTACATCCGACCTGAGAAAGTAGCCCCACTTTTATCCAAGGCTGGTCCTCACGATTTATCAGCTTTGCTGAAAAGATGGCTTCGGGAATTACCTCAACCTTTACTTTGCATGGAATTGGTGCATCTGTTTTATCAAGCCCATGGTAATACATCTATCAGTCTATTACAAGAATCTTAAATACAAAAGCAAATGTTGATTTAATTTGTTTCTTTAGCCCTGCCACCAGGAACAGCCCAGAGCACAGGATTAACATTATTAGCATTATTGTTGCCACCGGAACATAGATGCACCTTGCAAGCTCTTCTAAGTTTTTTTATGGACGTTGTCAGGTCCGAAAATAATAAAATGGATTTGCATAATGTGTCCATGCTGGTTGCGCCTTCACTTTTTCCACCCAGGTGAGATGACATAGATGATACAAAACAAACTTTAACTGTCTCATCTCGTCCATCGAATGCATCTCTAATTATTATAAACTTTATTATTATTTTTTATATGAATTATTCTATTAGATTTGTCCATCCTGGTGATAAGAGTGATATAGCTGCTCAATTGCGTATGGCTGCGCAATGTTGTCAGCTGACTCAAACATTATTGAGTCTCGGAGACTCTTTATGGGAAGTTCCACCTCATCTGCTGTCTCAAGCGAGACAAATGAGGAAGCCTGGACAAGTAAGAAATTCTAATATAATAGAAGTACAATATAAAGCTATACTATGGATATTTATGTAAAGGAATATTATTTCTTTTCCAGAATAAAAGACAGTTGGTTCGAAAGAAGAAAATGAGTCCCACGACGTATTCCAATAAATACGGATAACCAACCAAGTTTGTTTTTTATACATATTTATAATAAATGTTTCTAGTTTCTGACCATTGACATAATTTATAATTAATTACTATTGCCCGAGTGCATTTATTTCATACACATCACATATGAAAAGTAATTTATGTGTACTTAATATTTATATTATATAGCATTAGATGTTTTCATATTTTGCGTACATTTTATATTTGTACATGATGTACATAGAATCGAACTTGTGTGAAATAAGTAGACGATAATTTGATTATAAATTTATTATTATTGATAGATATAATGTTACCTTTATTTGTTTCAATGTTAATATTGTATAAATATTTAATTTGTATGATATATATTTAAGTTATAAATATATACATGACTATAAAACTTAATTATATGCTGCTTTGTTTTAGATGTTTTATTTTAGACTGGGATTTTTTAAAATATGAATTAGAAAGACATGCAAGTTCAGATGATTTGAAGGTGCTATATGTTGAAGGAATTCTTCCAGAGATTAACCAAGCAAGATGAAAACAAAAATATTGATCGAAACAAACACAATATAAATGAATTGGTGGCTAAGGCTAATATATATATTTAATACCCATGTCTAAGAAGAATACATAGGAATACGAATTCCATTGATTAAACCAGTAAAATAACATTTTTATTCATGAAAAATATGTCATTCATGAAAATGTCATAAGGAGACAATAATAACTTCTAAATATGTTTGATTTTAGCCTGAAGATTTTATAAATTATATATTAAAAAGACATACTAGTTCAGATGATGTGAAGGTGCAAGATGTTGAAGGAATTCTTTCAGTGATGATACAAAGCAATTAACCGAGCAAGATAGAAATACAAATATTGATCGAAGCAAACAAGACACAAATGAATTGGTGGCTAAGGCTTTCTACAATATATATTTAATACCCATGTCTAAGAAGAATACATGGGAATACGAATTCTATTGATTAAACCAGTAAAATAACATTTTTATTCTCAAAAAATATGTCATTCATGAAAATGTCATGAGGAAGACAATGATAACTTCTAAATATGTTTTATTTTAGCCTGGAGATTTTATAAATTATGAATTAGAAAGACATACTAGTTCAGATAATGTGAAGGTGCTATATGTTGAAGGAATTCTTCCAGATATGATACAAAGCAATTAATCGAGTAAGATGGAAACAAAATATTGATCGAAACAAACAAGACACAAATGAATTGGTGGCTAAGGCTTTCTACAATATATATTTATTACCCATGTCCAAGAAGAATACATGGGAATACGAATTCAATTGTTTACACCAGTAAAATAACATTTTTATTCATGAAAAATATGTCATTCATGAAAATTTCATGAGGAAGACAATGATAACTTCTAAATATGTTTTATTTTAGCCTGGAGATTTTATAAATTATGAATTAGAAAGACATACTAGTTCAGATAATGTGAAGGTGCTATATGTTGAAGGAATTCTTCCAGATATGATACAAAGCAATTAATCGAGTAAGATGGAAACAAAAATATTGATCGAAACAAACAAGACACAAATGAATTGGTGGCTAAGGCTTTCTACAATATATATTTATTACCCATGTCCAAGAAGAATACATGGGAATACGAATTCAATTGTTTACACCAGTAAAATAACATTTTTATTCATGAAAAATATGTCATTCATGAAAATTTCATGAGGAAGAAAATGATAACTTCTAAATATGTTTGATTTTAGCCTGGACATTTTATAAAATATGACTTGAAAGGAATTCTGTCTATATCAAAAGCTTCAAAGCATAATTTGATTAAATTTAATTGGTTAAAATGCTAATTAACCACAAATATTGATCGAAACAAACACAATACAAATAAATTGGCTGATAAAGAACAGAAATCTGTTAAAGTTCTTACATGGGCAACATAAATAATATATATTTAATAATCATGTCTCAAAGAAAACATGGAAATACGAATTCAATTGATTAAACCAGTAAAATAACATATTTAGTCATTAAAAATAAAATGTCACGAGGAAGACAATAATAACTTCAACAGGTATTTGTTGTTTGTGGAAAATATAATGTACTTTCATATTACAGATCAATTTAAGCATAATTTAATCGAAGTCAATTGATTAAAATGCTAATAAACCACCTAGCAAATTCACCGTACAGAATTATGACAAAATGGCAAGAATGATAGAAATTTAAACATAATTTTAAAAACCTCTGTCTATATCAAAGGCTTCGAAGCATAATTTGATTAAATTTAATTGATTAAAATGTTAATTAACCACCTAGCAATTTCGTCACACAAAATTTTGACAAACAGACAAGAATGATAGAAATTTTAATAGGAAATTTAAACACAATCTTGTAAACCCTTGTCTATATGTAATATAATAGTATTTATATCGTTAAAATGAATATAAGTTTGTCAATTTCATTGAAAATAATAATATATGTGTTAACTTACATGTTCCAAAAGTGTTGACTATGTATCAGATCAACTTAATGGATTAACCAAAGGCATAACTTAATTGAATCTAATTAAATATGCTTAATTAAAACGTTAATAACACATTTATAACACAAAAACACAACCATAGTTATTTTTGAATGATTTACTCTCTTATTTATGTTTACAACTGTCAATCACTGTCAACAAGATGGCTGCCAGGGCGGGAATTTTAAACAGCAATTTTAAAATAATAGAATTTGTAAAAAAATTGTCTATATTTAATAAAAGTGAATAGATTTTCTGGATAAATACGTATATATGTATATGTTTCTGTTAATTTTAACGAAATATGTACAATATTATTAAATATATTATAATATTATATTACAAGTCAAAGGTTTCTCAACCTGTCACAAGCACCTATGTTGACAGTTCACGAAGTTCACGCCGTTTTGATTTGTAAATGGCACGGTGAACAGACGTCTGTTTTGCAAGCTTCTGAATAAGTTAATTTATGTCCGATATTATTGTGTAAATTATAAATAATGTTACAATTGAACATAAATAAGGTGTTGAAGTAATTTACGTTAAAAGTTTACTAAAATCTATGAGTTTCGGTCCGGTAGGTTAGTTCATTATATACACGACAAAGACATTTAGTTTTAAGTCGTTGTGAGTGTTTTGAAGTACTAAAATGGATAATAATTGATGCAAATTATATAAAGTACTGTATTAAGTATTAAGAACTGTGGTTATAGTGTTTTTGCAAGACTTTTATATAACCACCAAAAATCACGTTATTGCACAAGTGTAATGGCGGTTGCAGAATGGGGCAACAAGTTTGACATCTAAAGGTAGGATTTAATTTTATTTGATGTATAGAAATTATATGAATTCTCTTGTATATAAATTATGATATCTTGATAAATGTCATAAAAGTGCTGCTGAATATTTTTCCTCATTCGGAGAGTGTTTTAATGTTTCCATAATTGTTTATATTTATTCTTTATGAGTTAACAACAATGGCGATGTTTTTATCTATCCAAACCTGAGGGTTCCCATTTTAATGCAATAATATATTAAAATATATTTTTATAGATTTTTAGACCAGTTTCTTTAAAATTCAAGACAAAAAATGTTAAATATCATATATTCAGATTGTTCATGATTAATCAGCACTGAATTTTTATTTCTAAAAAATGCCTAAAATATATTGTTTATATTTTTTGGATAGCTATTATTAGATTTTTAAATTTCTGAACTAAGAGTCTCTTTTTTCCTCAGATTTTTTTTATTTGATTTTGCAATTTTTATTTTTTAAATTTCAATTATATTTCACTGACAATATATATATTATATATATATATATATATATATATATATATTTTTGAATATTCTTGAATTTGATGTTGATATATATGTTTAATTTGAGTTTAATATTCGGGCGTAACATCAATAAAAATGATTTTATTGATGTTACGCCCGAATATTAAACTCAAATTAAACATATATATATATATATATATATATATATATATATATATATATTTATTTCTTCATTTATTTATTTATACGCCAATCGGCTTTATACAGTTTTATAATATATACATATGTATTTATATTATTTTCGTATATATATATATATATATATATATATATATAAGCAACGAAAATACATTTAGCATTATTTACAGGTTTTAATTAGATAAGCATACAAATACTGTGAAATGAGTATTTCATTTAATATATATCACATGTTTATAAAAAAGCATTTCTATAACTTAAAAAAAAAATATTACAATTACATTTCATTGTGTGTTTATAATAGAACATTTTCTAGAAATATCTATTGAAGAAATCCTTCCAAGAAGTTGTTGAAAATTTTACATCATATATATATATATATACACACATATATATATATATATATATATATATATATATATATATAATGTAAAATTTTCAAAATACTTCTAAGAATTGGAAATTTCTTTAATAGATATTTCTAAAACATGTTCTATTATAAATACACAGTATATACATACAAGCAATAACAAATAATATTAATTAAAATAATAGTTTCAAAAATATGAGTTTTGTTATCAATAAACTCATCAATAAGTATATTATGCAATTTATCACATATTTAGTCAAAGATCTGCTTAAAATTTAAATAATTTCCAAAATATTTCATAACAAATATGATAAAATGATTCATAAATTTCTTATAAATATATATTATTTCTTATAAAAGATCTGATCAACGGTTAAATATTTTTCAAAATTTTTCACAACAATATGTTAAAAATAATTCACAATTTTTCTTCATTATTTTCATTATAATTAATAAATAAAATATTTAAGCAATAACAAAATGTGCAAATCTTGTGTTTTCAACCAAACAATGAGTTTTCCTAATAATTAACTAACAAATAAGTATTTTTTGAATTCTTATCACATATTTAATGAAACTCCTATTGAAAGTTTGAATAAATTTCAAAATCTTCCAAAAATTTTAAGGCAGCATCATAAATGTATTGGTACTGATTCTGAAAAGTAAAAATGAAAATTTAGTTATAATTTTATAACTATTAATAAAAACTTCCATTGTGTAAATACAAAAAAATACTTTACTCTAATAATATACTCTATAAGTTTTAGCTAGCATTTTTTTAATATTTTGTCTTTCTTATCTATCATCTGAATCAAATATTAGAATTTTCTTAGAAAAAAAAACCGTCCCACAAAACTTTCACGATTTTTGTCAGAAATTTTAATATGCACATATTTATTTGGCAATTTTCATATAACTGAGGTTAAAAAGCTGGTATAAAATTATTTCGATCATAGTACGAAAATAGATTTTTTCAACTAAATAAAGTATGATAACTAAATTTATTGCAAAAATAAATTTATTGCAAAAATTGCAAACAAACCATTTTATCAGAAATATTCAACTGTTAACAATTAACCAATATTAACAGTAACCAATTTTGAATTGGTCAATTCCATTTATAATTTTTGGATGAAGCAAAATATTCAAAAATTTACTATCAATTTGTGCTATCACGAAAATCCAATAAGTAAAATAACTGTATGAAAAAAAATACAGAATTCTGTAAATCAATGTCTTATCCGAAGGACTGTTGCATTTTCAGTTTTAAATTGCCAAGGATTTAATTACTAAATTGGGATTTGTTCAAGGCCAAAATTTAGGATTATGTACATGTTTTTTTTAATTCCTAGACTGGTGGATTAAAGTATCTACTTAATTGTAGATAATTCATTTTTGAAGTTTGATTCCTGATGATCTCTAGATAGAATGCAAAGTCGTACCATGTTATTTTCAAATTGTCTCCTTAGAGATCCCGTTTTGGAAAACACTGCTCTAAAAAGTTCAATTTTATTTACCTAGTTTCTTACATATACCTTCCTTTTTTACTTTATAAAAGACGGATTTATTAAGATTACAATTAATATAATTTTGTTCATTGCATGATTTTCGTTAAATATATTATGGAGTAGATTTTTGGAGATATTTGCAAAAAAACGACGAAAAACGCCAAAAAGATACGAATTTTTAGTAGCCAGTAAGATGAAAAATATTCGCATTTTTAAAAAATATGAAACAGTTCTTCTATCGATTTCCTACGTTATTCTAAAACAAAATATTACACCACAGAGAAGGGGTGACCCGAAGATGAACCTAGTTCCAACGTCGTACCATGTTATTTTCAAATTGTCTCTTCAGAGACCCCATTTTGGAAAACACTGCTCTAAAAAAAATTCAATTCTATCTACCTGGTTCCTCACAAATTCCTTCCTATTTTTCCTAATGGTACGAATTGCCAAAGGCACATCACACTCCTGTTCCAATTTCAACTTCTCAATACTGAACACCATTGCTACAAAAAGACCACAGGCAGTAGCTCCATCACTGAATTAAAATTAAAACAAATTAGTAATAATGACAAATAATATATCACAACACCAATAATACTTACAAGCACGTTAGAAGTATTTTAGCATCACCACAAGTCAGTTTTTGCAATTGTTCCCAAAAAGTTGGAAGACAATCTAAATTTTCACCAGGAGCTGTAGGCAGAACTTTGTCCTTGTCCCAATTTTTTATTTGCACTATGGTCACGACTTTGTTTACTTCCTTGCTCTAAAAAATAATAATTATTATTGAGAAATAGTAAATTGTACTTAGGGAAACTAATGTTACAACCTTTGTAGTGTCTTTGAAGTCCACAGTGATTATAAAACAATATTCAGTCTCGAATTTGTTTTTGTACCTTATGGTCAACTGTGGTATTGGTGACAAAATCTCATTGGTTTCATTTGGGATAAAATCTGGAACACTCTGTAAAAGCAGGAGTTGATCAATAAGCATCAACAGGTATGGATTTAAAAAAATATGTAAATTTATAAAAAGATATTCCTATGTTTTGTAAAAAACTAGATGACCCGACAGACAACAAGGTTGTCCTGTACTTATGTTTACAATTCAAAAGTTCAAATTTTTTTTAAATCAATTATACTGATATTTACCAATTAGTTAAACATTATTATGTTTTTTACACTACAGTCTATGCCTTACACCCATATGGATCTTAAATTTAAAACTGCTTTAATTAAAATGCTGAGTATTGACATTATGAAACATGTTTTGCTTATAATTAGTTTTTTTATCGATATCAAGATATTTTGAAAAAAAAAATAAAATTACACCACTGAGAGAGAAGTCAGGGAAATGGCGAAGGAGTCTAAATTATTTTTATTTTTGAACTTGAGAGTAAAGTAAACCTAATTTCAAAATTTCATACGTATTGGAGCGCAGTAAAAAACTTCATACTCAAAACGCTTCATTGACTCGAGTAAATATTCCGTATCCGATGGCAAATATATGAAAATACTAACGTTTTTATGTGAAAAAGAAAAGGGCTGTTTTTAGGGTTTTCCCGGCAATTATTCGATTTTTTCTCGCCGTTTTATTTCATATTTGAAGTGAATTAATTTGACAAATCCTGCTCTCATGTGCTCTATTCAATCTACAATCAACAAAATTATTGCAGTAAATGGAGAGGAAAAAGCGTGTGCCCTGTGAATTTTTTTTACTGTGCTCCAATTTGCATGATATTTTGGAAATAGGCTAATCTTAATCAAGTTCTGAAGTAAAAACAATTTGCACTTCGTCATCACTCCCCGCATTAATTGAAATACAACTCTTTTAATTTTGATTTTATCAAAACTTGTAATATACTATTTTAAAGGTAATGGCAAATGACAGTCTTTCAATGTCAATGAATTACAAGCGGTTTTTTATATATTTTTTCATATATTTCTACAATCTAACTATATTTCTATAATTCAAAAAATCCTAAAAAATTCCCATAACAAACTTCAGAAAGATTAATCAAAATTCGAATAATCGTTTAGGAGGATTATCCTTTCATACACCATTACAGAAGAATTTTAACACACAAATTGATTCTACGTTTCAGTTAGAAAACGTTTGTATGACAAAAAGAAAAGGGCTGTTTTTTAAGGTTTTCCCGGCAACTTTCGATTTTTTCTCGCCGTAAGAACCATCCCTGGACTTCAACGAACATTTTAAAAAAAGGATTGGCCAAATTGGTACAGGCGTTGTTGAGTTATGCGCTTGCTAACACATTTTGCAATTCATTTTTATATATAAGAAGATGTATTAAAAATTATGATTTCAAAACTACAAAAAATGTCATGACATCTACAATTGTTTTTATATAAAACTCATGGCTTCTTTTGATTCCCACAGATTTAAACAATTACCTCATCGCTGGTGTCTATTTTGTTGAGTACGCCCACTAAAGAGATTTCTTTGTCTGATATCATTCTCCAAAAATCTGAGACAGTATGGTGCAAAGGAAAGTGTGTCACGATGAATTGATCTTTGATTCTAAAACCGTCCACAAAAACTGCATTGATGTAATCGGAATTTGCATCGGATAAGGGAAACCTTGATAGGAACACACGACCCCTGGTACCTAAAACAAAAATTCACATTGAGTGGGGTTATCATATTTCTTTCTATTATTTTGATACCTGATACAATTTTGTTCCTATTCTCCTTCCTATTAAGATCTTCCTCCGAAGGTTTGTTGTCAGCACATTTCAAATAATCATCCTTCCAAGCAACTTTGTCCAATTTAATCCAGTTATCGAACAAAGTATTGTTCCTCTTCATTTCAGCAACTGCTGATTTCAAATTTTCGCAAGGGATGCTCGTAGGTTCACCAAGTAAACTTTCTAGAACGACCATGTGCACCAATTTGTATTGGTCCTAAAAAAATAAGACTTTAATTTAGTTGATGAGATTTTTTAGATGTAACACGTACACTGCTGTCCACAAGATTTGCTCTTTGTTCCCGTATCTTGTTCTGGTAATAAAGGATGTCTACTTTGCCTGTTGCACGTGCCATTTTGATGCAAATGTCTGCTAAAATTATAGTTCCTGTTCTGCCAACTCCGGCACTAAAAGATAAAAAAAATTAATGAAATGTTTGAAGAGTTCAAAGATGTGGAGAAGAATAATGGATCTATGAGGGCCAACAATTGGAAAACTGGAAAAAGTAGTTGAAACAACAACTTTAGTGGACTTTACTCATAGCCTCTTTTAATTCTCACAGATTTAAACATTACATTGTGCAAGGGAAAAGCAACTGAATCAAATACGTGTTGGAGAAAAATGCCATCTGCACAATAAATCTTATATATAAAAATGAATCGCGAAATGTGTTGGTAAGTGCATAACTCAACAACGCCTGGACCAATTCGACCGATTATTTTTTTTAAATATTTGTTGGAATTCAAGGATGGTTCTTACGTCGAGAAAAAATCGAATAATTGCCGGAAAAACCCTAAAAACAGCCCTTTTCTTTTTCACATACAAACGTTTTCTAACTAAAACGTAGAATCAATTCGAGCTTTAATTTTTTTATAATGCGTGAATAAATAAGGTGAATTAGAGTATTTATAAAGGTAAACTGGTGGACAGGTAAATTGGAGGATATGTAAAATGGTTGAGAGGAGAACTGGTAGATAGACGAATATGTAGACAAATAAACAGGTTGACAAGTTAATTGGTAGACATTTAAAACGGGATGACAGATAAATTTGTAGGCTAGTAAAATGGTAGATTGATATTGATTGAATGGTAGACTGGATGACAGGTAAATTGCGGAGCAGGTAAATTGGTTGACTGGTAAAATGGTGTATTGATAAACAGGTTGATAGGCGAATAGGTCGACAGGTAAATTGATAGACACGTAACTTGCTAGACAAGTAAATTGGTGAAAAAATAATTTGTTGGATAGCTGGTGGTCAGTTAAATTAGAGGATATGTAAATTGGTAGACAGGACAACTGATAGATAGACAAATAACAAGAAGGATAAACAGGTTGACAGGTAAATTGGTAGAAATATGATAGGTAAAATGGTAGATTGATTAACAAGTTGATAGGTAAATTCGTAGGTAAATTGTTGAACAGATAGTAGTAACGTTAATATATATGTAACAAATATACATCTTTGTTCAACTTTTTAATTTAAATTGAATCATGGCAAAGCGTGAGCGGGTACAGCTAGTTGATGATAAAATTGGAAAACAAACTTGATAACAGCAGAACTCTGAAAACTTTTGGCAACAGGATTAACTAATTACTAATTGAAGACAAGTTTGCAGATTCTTGATGACAGGATGCAGATCTTTGAAAGGTTTTGATAAAAGGATATACTAAATACACCAAAGTTAGGAGGCAATAACAATATTAATACCTAAAAATATTAAGGCAGATTTGCAGATTCTTGATGACTGGAAGCAGATCTTTGAAATCCATTTAGGATTAACTGAATACACAGAAGTTAGGAGGCTTCTGATTAGTAAAAATATTAATCACTAAAAATATGAAGGCAGATTTGCAGATTCTTGATGACAGGAAGCAGAAGTTTGAAAGGTTTTGATATAAGGATTAACTAAATACACAGAAGTTAGACGGTTTCTGATTAATAAAAATGTTAATCCCAAAAAATATGAAGGCAGATTCGCAGATTCTTGATGAGAGTAAGCAGAACTTTGAAACGTTTTTATGGAAAGATTTACTGAATACACCAAAGTCAGGAGCCTTCTGACCAGTAAAAATATTAATCCCTAGAAAAATGAAGGCAGATCCGCAGATTTTTGATGACTGGAAGCAGAAGTTTGAAAGGTTTTGATAAAACGATTAACTAGGATAAAATTAGCAGGTTTCTGATCCGTAAAAATATAAATCTTTGAAAATATGAAAGCAGATTCGCAGATTTTTGAGACTGGAAGCAGAACTTTGGAAAGTTTTGATGAAAGGATTAACTAAATATACAGAAGTTAGGAGGCTTTTGATCAGTAAAAATACTAATCCCTAAGAAGATAAAGGCAGATTTGCAGATCTTTGATTACAGGTACATTTGAAGCAGAAATTTGGAAGTTTTAGATAAAATGATCAATTAATTACACAGAAGTTAAGAGACTTCTAACTAGTAAATAATTTTTCCCTAAAAATATGAAGGCTGATTCGCAGATTCTTGATGCAGGAAGCAGAAGTTTGAAAACTATTTAGTATTGAATAATTAGAGACAAGTTATGAGGCTTCTGATCAGTAACAATAATAATCCTTAAGAAGATGAAGGCAGTTTTGCAGATTCTTGATCACAGAAGCAGAAGTTTAGAAGGTATTTATGAAAGGATTTACTAAATACCAAGAAGTTAGGAGGCTTCTGACCAGTAAAAATATTGTTCCTAAAAATATCAAGGCAGATTCTCAGATTCTTGATGGCAGGAATTATAATAAATTTTATCTAGGTTTTGCTATGCTAATTAAAAAACAGTGCCTTCATATAAAATTTGTGAGTTTTTTGACAAAAAGTAAAAAAATGTCGCGAATTTTTTATTTGTTGCTTAATAATAAAATATCAAATTCAAAGTCGTTTTATTCAAAATATTCCTATCGGGACATGTGCAACTGTTGGCATGGAATTTTAAAGTGGAGGGCAAAAAATATGTAACCAACCATCGCCTTAAATTGGGCGATGTTGCAATCAGGAGATAAATGACTACGTTGTCAATTTTTTAACAAAATATTTTTTTGTTATGGAGATGACCAAGAGCAGCTGACAAATTTTAGATAAATAGCAAATGAAGGGTTTTGGAAGACTTCTGATCAGTGAAAAATGAATCCTTATAAATTATGTTCCCATACCTACAATGTACAATAGTTGGCGTTTGATCAGATTGTATACTTTGCATTTTATTAATAAAAGGAACCAGAGCTTCTGGATAAAGTGGAACTCCATGATCAGGCCAAGCTGTAAAGTGCAAATGCTCAACTGCAAAATATCCAATAATTGCATTATAAATATTGCACAACTATTTTCTACTTTATTGCTTACTATATAACTCTCTGATCCATTAGTGATGTTCAACGTTCTGTAGACAAAATCTGCATAAATCCTGGAACTTCGATGTTCGACTTGGATATCTCCATAAGATTCTTCAGAACCTTCTAGCTCGGGCCAGTACTGGTGACACTTTATCTATAAAAAAAATCAGTGTCGATAGATTTGGGGAAATAAACAATAAAATGAGTTTTTGAACCTACTTTATCTGCTTCTTTGATATTAGTCAACATGCAAATGGCATTAACTTGCTCTTGCCAAACCATTCTCCAAAAGTCGTTTACGGTTTGCTGTTTTGGTCCTTGGGTTGCTATATATTCTTTTGGACGTAGAAATCCCTAAAAATGATAGAATATTGTATTATAGATATAGGCATGAAAGTCCGTAGGTAAAACGGTCCACAAAACCAAGTATGGTATTTTTGGGCGCTACTGTTTTAAAGTAGAGGACAAAAGATGTGTAACCAACCATCGCTTTAAATTGGGCGATGTTGCAATCGGGAGATAAATGACTACATTGTCAATTTTTAACAATGGTATTTTTATTGTGAATTTGCTAGTTTTCCTGGGGTTTGAGCACTGTTGTTTAGTTCACGATACCTATAATATTGTATAGCAATGGTTAAATAACTGATATTCCTTAAGTCCTCATTAGAATTTAAAATAATGTCCCTTAAAATGACTGTCACTTTTCAACCCGCCCATGGAATAACATGAATTAGTTGACAAACTTTTGAAAAAATATAAAAGAACATATTTATACAATTTGATAGATCTTTCTTAAAATGTGGTATTTGTTGTGATGTAGATGGTTTAGTTTTCACTGCATAATTACTAAAATTTAAATTGGATTTTTATGTCCAAATCTACTTTATGTAGAGGCAATAAAACTTACGTCAACGTAGTTTGCATTTATATAATCAGAATATTTGTCATTAGGCAACTTCTTCAAAACAACTCTGGAACTATCATCTGGAAATCAAAAATTTGAAATTAGTGGATATACAAGTTTTTGAGTCAGGTGAGTGCTTACTTACAAGCTATTAAATTTAAGTATCGGTTTTTAATTTTGTTGGCATCATGTATGCCGTATCCAAACTCTTTCTGCATTCCTCTCTTAAACATCTGAAAAGTGAAATAAATTATTGGTAAAGCAAATTATATATGCAAACTAGCAAACCCGACGAACTCTGTTTCGCCACCAGATGGTTTCGTGAGATAGATGAAGAATTTTTTGTTTGTTTTATATTTGAAAAGGAAAAATTTGATTTTATTATACAGTAATGAATTTATTTCGATTACAAAAATGAAGTGTTTTTCAGTTGAACTTCTCTAAGTAAATGAAAGTGAATCCGCGAATTATCCGTTTCATTGAAGTGCTCTTTGGTAAACCACATTTTTTGTTTTTTGGTCTGACGTTAACACAAACAAAGTGGATGGTTTTCCAACTCGTGAACAGGCAACGTATAACTGCCCATGTGAAAAACAATGATTTTCTAAATAATCTGTTTGAAATTTATCCCGCAAACACTAAGCGATTGGTCTTGCGACTTGTTAATTGTCATTACGAAAGCAAGGCGAACTGGAAATTGCAATCGTTTGAAGACCAGTCGGAATCATTGATATATCACCAAAGCGCCAGCATTTGTTGATTGCATGGTGAAATTCAGTGCGTGTACATCATATTTCTTGGCGCCAAAAGTTGCTCGTTGACTTAACCAAGCATAATTCTGATAATTCTCACTAATGTCATTACTCGAATTTTTAATTACGGTGCGTGAAGTTCCAGCAATTTGCATTAGGGCACGATGCCATGCACCACTAATTCCAAAGAATGCAAAATTGTCGAAATCGGTTCGTGCGTTCTGGAGTTAAATCGTCAGGAAGGAAAACTTGACTTATTTTTATGTATATAGAAGATAATATAGCAAAAATTGGCAACTTTTGTATCAATATTTACTCAGGATTTATTTCTTTTACCTTATGCTGCATTTCCAACTCCCTATTAGCCAACGACTCTTTGACATAATGTTCAAAATCTTCAACGTCTACAGGACGACTAATTGGTCCCTTAAACACAATTTTGTTACTTGGAACAGAAGGTTTGCTAGCAACATCAACCAATGGTTTACTCGAATTCTGGGCCATCATTTTGTTACTTGGAGCAGAAGGTTTGGTACCAACATTAACGAATGGTTTATTAGAACCCTTAACCATCATTTTGTTATTTGAAATAGGTTTGGCAGCAATATTTGGTTTATTTGGTTTTGGACTTGGTCTTTGCGGTAGGATAACTGCCCTCAGTTGACCTGGTAGACTTTCTTGTACTGGTTTGGGAATCATTTGCAATTCATTTTCTGCAGATGTATTAACAAATGGGAGTTTTATTGTGGACAGCTTTTTATGGTATCTGGAATAAATGATCAACCTTAAGAGAAATCTTTTAGTTTAGTAAACAAAAATTAGACAAATAAAAGTTGATGTGCATGTTGATGATTTTCGTGTTTCGACCTCTCTTACCTTTTGTACAAGACGTACACTACCACTGGTATTATTAAGAGAAAAATCAAAGCCCATAAATGGGAGCTGGTTTCTTCATCATTTATAGTGCTGTTTGACAATATTGTATATTTCATCTCATTACCCAATTTATTATAATAAATCAACGTAATTGTATATTCCGATTCGAGAAATAATTCTGCATCCCAGATATCACCATTTGTTGTGTTGGATCCGATTATAACTGTTTTATTTTTATTTGGAATCTTTGAACACAGAAAGATTTATTTAACTACTTGCGTCATTAGCACTAATTAAGCATATGGTTTATTTTTACCTCATCAAGATGTTTAGCAATCCAGGATACTGTATTGTCTTGTCTTAAATATGGAAGAAACTCCCCATGTTGCTCCTTTAATTTATAAAATGCTAAATTTTTGGCTCCGACGAGTTCTTTAGGATCATGTTCACTAACTATTATAAAAACGCCACTGAAAAATACGAATCAAAAATACTTTTTGGAAAAAAATTACCCAAAACCAGAACCAAAAAACAGGATGAGTAATCAAGTTGAATTTAATATAATTTATATTAAATTAAATATAGATTTTTTTCAGTTGTTACCTGGATTTTGTAACATTTTCATTCCCTGGTGGTATCGTTACTGACATCTGACTGCGACCAGATTTTATGGTAAAAATTTCTCCTGTTATTTCTGGTTTCACAACCGAAGTCGTAACATAAACCGAAGAAAATCTTCCTGGTTGTTTGTTATGTGATATTATTTTCACCGAGTAGGTGCTGGCACTTGCTAATCCACTGAGCTAAGGATTTAGTTATTACTTAGCAATTACTGTATTGAAATATAATTTAATAGTTACCAAATATTGGTATTCTGGCATGTCTTCATCGATTTTGTACTCGTATTGGGTTTCCGCAAAAGTATTGTTTCTAAGATTTGTGGATGTAAGTGTTACTTTTATATGGAACGACTGTATCTTTCCTAATGGTTTCCAAGGATGATTCCAGTGGATCAACATTTCATTCTTCTCGTCTTTACGGAGATTTCTTGGCTCACTTGGACCTGTAAATAAATGAGCCACAAGAAAAATAAAAAAATGATGTAAAATTAATTTGCAGTTGGTTAAACGGTTAACCAGCATTTAAAATGGTTGTTGGTAAATTTTTCTGATTTCTAGCATTTCTAGCATTTTCTTTGAAATGCACATATGATGGTCTTGACATTCACCAAAAATACCAAAAACTACTACAAGAACCAAATGGACTTATTATGTCAGTCGATGTAAAAATACTAATAGAATATATTTTTGTTACTTCATGAAGGAGAAGTTTGTTTTAGCATGAAATTTTGATCTGGATCAAATGAGATCCACCTGAAAGTGCTAAAAGTTTATGTGATGAGCAGTATTTTAATTATTGATTATTTATTGGAGTCTTTTTTTGAGCTTTGACGAAAACATAACATATTTTGCGGAAAGTTGAGGAACCTGATAATTTATCATAAATAAGATGATATTAGAACTCACGGTTTTGCACAGTTTTAGCTCTAACAGTTGCAGGATTTCCTTTCTTTGGATTCTATTATAACCATACACCTAACAATAAAACAAATGCTTCAACTTAATTATCAATTCTAAATTGTCTTCTAAAAATACTTACAGATATTTGATATTCTTTGTTTGCTTGCAAAGTTGATATCGTATGGCAAATGTAACCATCATATAATAAACAACCCTGTTTAGTATTGTTTTGTGACAATACGGATCTATCGTGTTTGGCATTATAATCTACTGCATAATATTGCAAAATTCCATTTACTGGATTTGGTGGTTTCCATCGTAACGAAATACTGTCATTTTCACTAGAATATACTTCTAAATCTTGAACGGGGTCTGGTGCTGAATTTGAAAAGATAATATGTAAAAAAGGAAAAAAGTTCAACGTTAATATGAATTTGGATGGACATAGTATATATGCCAACAACAAAATATTTGATTTGTGCCTCTCTTCTCCTTTTTCTAATTGGGTGTAAAACCATTATTTGCATTCTTTTGATCTTCTATGAAGTCAAAACAAATACAATAAGGACTTCTACTACGTACATGGTGAATAACTTTACCTGCCAAATAGACGTTAGCGAAAAGAATGAATTTACAAAAGTCTGTAGAATTTGGTAAATAGTTAATATAGGTAAGAAATAATTATGGACCAACAAATGAAACTTGCTAAACACCGTACATTGGCATACACCAAATGTAGCATTTCATCAGTTTCATTCAATATTGGACGGCATTTGGCTGACTCCGTGCTGCATTTTGATCATGATTTTCTATCTATAAAAAAATCTACATCGATAGTTTGTAGTTGTGATGCATTTCAATGAGAGAAGTATCAAATGAAGAATTACTAAAAAATGTGCGAGACTTAACTGGATATGACTGTGAAAATTCCACAAACCAAATGTATCTTTTGTACATCAACGTAGAAGAGAACAATGCAGATCCTAAATTTAATATACACACGCTTCTTATAATACCCACTTACCGGCATCTGATGTGTTGACAATTTTATAAAAACTTAGAATATTCTGATCATTGAATCGGATTTGATATTCGTTGAAGGGTTTCAAATGGTCAATGACACATGGAGAAGTATTGTAGATTCCATAATCTTTGCATGTGGTTTGCTGATCATTCACAAAGATCGTGTAGTATTTCAGTGGGCATATATTTTCTAATTCCTGAATATAATTTTATATATATATATATATATATATATATATATATATATATATATATTTCTATATGATCTTGGCATTTTATATATAAACATTTTCAAAATTACCTTCCAATATATTGTTGTGCTACGTTCATCACTTTTATAATCCACATCTATATATGTAAGGACGATGATTAGTACTAAATTAGTAAAACTTTAATTTTACATATGCAAATTAATATTAAATACTTACCTGCTGGTGTAGTGCAAGTAGGTTTCAGTCCAACATGTTGAGGATTCGCATATTCATCAATTCCATTGACATAAATTAGAACTCCTATCGAAATATCATGCCTAAGAATTAGATGGTCGCGTGCTATATTACTTGGTATCGATATAGGATTTTGATAATTTGTTATTGGTATGACATCACTAATAGGTTTATAGTTATATTCGTATTGGATTGACATATAATTTGCTGTTGTTCCACTTGGATTTAAGGATTTTAGTTTAATTGTAAAATTCATGAAACCTGAGCTTATGACTTCGAACTCCGGATTCAATACTGTGATATCTAAAAATAATCTTATGAAATATATTTTTAGAAAATTATTAAGTATATATATTCTGAGATAATCTTGCTGTTTCTTAACTCAGCCCTGAAGTAAATACATCTTTGGCATTGAATGGCATTACTTTTGGCATACTATAAAGTACGTAATTCCAGGTCCTCATTCTCAATGAGGACACTGAAAATGTATAAGTAGAAAACATTAATTTTTGTGAATACTAAAGCAATCTTATCCAAGAATAGTCTTACATATTTGTACTTACCATTGCAATCGGGTCCATTGAATCCAGGATAGCACTTGTAATTTGCTCCTGTCCTGTCATATATTTTGTATCCTCTGCATGATTTATCTCTGAAAGTGTTCCAATAGTAACAAGTCGGAGGAGAAGTAAAAAGCGGTGCCGAAGCAGCAGCTTGTCGATATTGAGAATTTATTATTTGACACGATTCCCGGTTGTATTCTTCAGCCAGTTCTAGATATTTTTCTTCACCTTTGTTATAAAAGCACATTTTAATTTATGTTATGCAACAATGACCACATATTAAAGCAAAAGTTTTGAAAAGAATATAAAGATTTATGAAGAAGATTAGCTGACGTTCTATCTTACCACAGAATTGCCTCTGGCTAGAACACCAAAACATCAACAAATAAATCGCTATTTAATGAATCTATTTATTTACCTACTGTGCACATCCTAACATTCTCAATCGCCCAAAAAACACTTGAATTTGAACCATCTGTTTAGTCTGTTGTGAATCTCAGTTTTACATTTCTACTTTTTTTCTCTTTCATGTCAAATACAAATTTCTCTTCCTTCCACTCGTACAATTGATTCGAATGCACCCGACGCTGAATAAAATTTAATTAAATTAGATTAAATTAAATTATATTATTCAGAAATTATTTTCTAACTTGATTTCCGTAGATGATCTGCGAATCATACTTTTGTTTAATGATCTTCAATATGCAATTGGAATGTGCAAGTTGGACACAAGGCTATGGACATGGTCAAGCATAGAATATCTTCATCGAATCGGAAGTAATTGGAATTATCAGTAATGAATAAGGTGCCTTCTTTCATTAACGTTTGACTATATAACATTTTATCTGAAAAAAAAATTATATTGGTAATATCAACTCGTGTTTGTCATATAAATAATAATATCTGGCTCTGAAAGTTCAAAAGTTGATCAACGAAATTGGATATTTTTATTGAAAAAATGTTTAAAATAGTAATAATATTTTCACTACTCTGGTCTTAATATTTTATTCTAAGCATTTTTTTCTGATCATCCAAAAGTGAATAACATAACTTATTTATCGAATGTCTCCTAGACTTGTAAAATTATTCATTTACTAAATATTTACATTTATGTACTTTCCACAGTGCATTTTCGTACAAACTTCTCACTCCAAAGTATTTAACCAGTAATGAATTTTGGTTGTCGGTATATTCCAAAATTGGCACGTACTCTTCATTTTCTTGTAATTGACCATATAATACTATTTTTACTATCGATGGATTCTGAGAAATAAATAATGTAAAATGTGACCATCTTTCTTCATTGACTAAAATCTGGAAAATGGAAAAAATTTCAAAACTTTAATATCAAGGTCACAATTGTTTTGTTTTTTTTTCTTGGGCCTTGCTGAAAACTAATCTTGTTGCATTTTTTATCTTACATTTGGATGTGTAACTTTAGCCCTGACTTTTTTGCATTCTTCATCTTCAGGTTCTCCACCAGGCATTCCCTTAGGACATTTTCTGACAATTGTAGTTTTGTCATCATCCAAAGATGATATTGAAATCACGTAGCTCCAATTGTGCTGGAATCTCTTCTTATAGCATAAAACTATTTCAACATTTCTTTTAGCTTTTACAGAAAAACTAATATATGCATGACTTGTGTTCTGTTCTAAGATTTGCAACTTGTTCTCTAGCGGTATT